AGGTCCTTTTGTGGTTTGATATTAGCGGCATAATGGCTCATGAAGCGGTCTGCCAGCTCTTCAAAGTTGTGAATCGACCCCGAGGGCTACGCTACTAGCCACCTTTGTGCTGACCCTTTCAACGTGGGTAAGAAAGCGCGGCACATGACCGGATCTCGTACCCCCAAAACCTGCATCTTAGCCTGGTAGCTCAGCAAATGTTCCCGGGGATCACCAGTTCCATCGAACGTGGCCCGCTCCGGGAACTTGAAATCACCCGGTATCTTATAAGCCATAACCTCGTCCGAGAAGGGTAAGGCGGTCAGCAACGTACGTCCTGGGGATTTGGCTTTCCCCTCCATCCGTTCTTTCAGATTTCGCACTTCTTGTACTAAGTTCGCCACTTCGACCCTCTCCTGGGTGCGATTGCCCGTGGATTCCGTGCTCTCACCGACTTCAGACTCAGCCGGTTGGTCGGGGTTGCGGGGGGGTTGCTCCACGCGACGAGTCTCAGTCCTGGCTCTTTTGGTACGGTTCTTCTCTCGTGCAGCTTGTCGATCGCGAGCAGCTAACGGGGCACGACTGGGTTCCTTCCGACCCAATCGTTCTCTCGCCGACCGACGTCCCACGCTGGGGCCCAGCCGGGAATGAACAGACTGTACCGGTTGGCTTTCGGCCCGTCGGCTCTGTTGCCGGTTGTCGGGCCTATGAGGCGGCTGTAACTCGCGTTGCGGCTGGCGAGTGACGGACTGTTCTCTCATTCCTAGGCTTGCTTCGGCGCAGGCGCGTCCGATTGCACGCAGCTGCTCTGGGGTGAGCAGGACTTGGGGCAATTGTTGGTTTATCGGTGGTGTCGGCGGCGGTGTTGTCTCGTTTTCCCGGCTCCGGGCATTTCTCCGATTCAGCTGGCTTCTCAGGTCTGCCTCCCGTCCATTGTCATGACGGCTCGATTGTTCCTCACTTCCTGCCATGTCTGGAGCTTTTCTAATTCGACTGAGATTCTAATTGTCGTTCCTCAGACTTGCCTCACTCAAGAGGACACGTGACTCTTAGTTTCGATCCCCACGGACGGCGCCAGTGATGGTTTTAGGGTTTTTGGGCCCAAGGAGGTCCAACACAACCTTTGGCTGGAGGGTGCACCTTTCAATAAAAGGTATGCCTATCTCGGAGATAATGCTAGTGCTCGGAACCTTTTTGGTATTCTCCCCCTCTGGGTGTTCAATTGTCTCCCCTTTTACAAGAATGGAGGAGCCTTTATATATCGGCTCCTCCTCTACCGACTTGAAGGCCCTTAATGGCCGACTTCAAGGCTAATCAAGATATGGAGCCATTGGACGCCATTACTTGGTCGACCAACGGCTCTTCCAGGCTTGTAACAGCCTGACCGAGTCCCGCTTTCAATGCCCTAACGGCTCCCTTTTAAACGAGCCTCTTCAATGCTCTCAACGGCTCCTTGAACCGAGTCTTCCCCTGGCTTGGGCCTCGGTCGACTCCTCGTTTCGGCCTAAGCTCCCACTGGGCTCCTCTTTAGTAGCTCTGAACCGGGCCCCGTGCTTGGGCCTGGGCCGGCTCCTGGACTCGGCCCAATTACTTTTCGGACCCCTCTTTACACTGGCCCACTTCTCCTATCTATTTTCTTTGGGCCCCTATCTCTTGGGCCGGGGTCGTTACCCCATCATTATTATTTCTAATCTATAATAAAGATTGATTATTTCTTTAAAACTTTTTCGAAGATTTCTTTTAATTTTGATTTTATTTAATAGTTATGAACTATAATAAAAATATGTCAATAAATAATTTTTAAATTGTATATAAACGTTATAATAATAAAAATAAATGTAAATAATAAAAAATATTGATTATTATATTTAAATGTACTTGTATTCTTGTAATGTTTCAAAGAAATAATTTTTAAGTTGCAAAATATAATTTAAATATGTAACTACATAAATAATAATTTATACATATAAATATATATTATTTAATTTTTAATTATTTTCACTTTTAAAGTTAAGGTGGACACGGTTCTAAAACTGTTCATAATTATAAATATGTAGTTTAAAAATTATGAACATATAGTTCTATAATTATGAACATATAGTTCTATAATTATGAATATAGAGATTCAATAATATAATTGTGAATATGAAGTTAAAAAATTATGAATATATAGCTTTATAATTATGAGCATATAGTTCAGTAGTTATAAACATAGAGTTCCGTAATTGTGAATATAGAATTCAATAATTATGAATATGAAGTTTCAAAATTATGAATATATAACTTTGTAATTATAAATATATAATTAAGTAATTATGAATATAGAACCGTGTCCACCTTACATACAAGGTGGACACGGTTCCACAGCATAACGATCCAAATAGGCAAATTATGTTGTGCATCCGGATGGAAAAACGACGTCGTTTTATTAAAAACGCGAGTCTCATTTAAAAAAAACAGTTTTGATTCCCAGCAACAACATTATATTGTGCATAATTTGAACTATATATCCAGAATCAATGAACTAAAATTTCAGAATCGATGAACTAAAATTCCAGAATCTATGAATTAAAATTCCAGAATGAATGAACTAAAAATCCATAATGAATGAACTAAATATCCATAATAAATGAACTAAATATCCAGCATGAATGAAAAAAAATCAGTTTCGATTCACGTCTAAATATCCATAATCAATGAACTAAAATTCCATAATCTATGAACTAAAATTCCAGAATGAATGAACAACATAATGCTGTTGAGGGGAATCAAAACTAATTTTTTTTTTAAGTGGGATGTGCGTTTTTAATAAAACGACGTTGTTTTTGCATCCGTATGCACCATGCATGGTGCATACGGATGCACAGCATAACGATCCATCCAAATAGTAAGAGAGTCAACAGCCAATAGTTATGCTGTTGAAACATGTTCACCATGCCCATGGTGAACACAGGGGTAAATTCATAATTTCTATACTGTAGATTCATAATTTTTTTTTTCTGAAAACGTAGATTCATAATTTTGTTTTTCATTTGTTGTTAACGGGATAGATCCATAATTTCTAAGCTGTAGATTCATAATTTCTATACTGTAGATTCATAACATCTATACTGTAGATTCATAATTTCTATACTGTAGATTCATAATTTCTGTACTGTAGATTCATAATTTCTATATCTATATTGTAGATTCATAATTTCTATACTAGATATTCATAATTTCTGTACTGTAGATTCATAATTTGTATACTGTAGATTCATAATTTCTATACTGTAGATTCATAATTTCTATACTATAGATTCATAATTTCTATACTGTAGATTCATAATTTCTATATTGTAGATTCATAATTTCTGTACTGTAGATTCATAATATCTGTAACAACAAATGAAAAACAAAATTATGAATCTACGTTTTCAAAAAAAAAAATAAAATTATGAATTTACAGTATAGAAATTATGGATATGATCTACCCATGTGTTCACCATGCGCATGGTGAACACGTTTCCACAGCATAATTTGCGGTCAACAACAGGTCAGCCTGAGGCAACTCAAGCCCAATTGTTATACCATGGACCAGTGTTCATATTGCATTGTGAACCCTGATACAAAAATTTTGTACTTGTAGTTAAGACATTTTGTATCCACAATTAATAATATTTGTACATGTAAGCAAATAACTTGATAATTGTTGACACATAATATGATAGCTACAGGTACAGAAACTATCAACTGCAGGTACAGAATGTGTCAACTATAAATACAAAATCTGAAAGTTATTTGTGGACCAACATAATATGATAATTACAGGTACAAAAACTATCAACTTTAGGTACAAAATGTGTCAACTATAAATACATAATCTAAATGATATTTTTGAACAAGGGTCTACAATACAAAATAGACCCTGATCTATGATATAATTTGATAGTCAAGCCCGCCCACACAAAAATGATTGTTCACACATCTACTTTACTAGGTATACCAAATAGAATAAATTATTATTTGTGAACTCAGAAATTAGGTTAGAATCGGTGACTCGAGTTTTAACAATATTAATACACAAGTTTTTAAAAATTATAAATTATTTGTACCATATATTACGGGCCTAAAAATCAAAGCGCACTTCACCTTTATTATGTACCAAACCGACAACCTTAATAACTCAATCCCTAACTCAAATCATATTACCCTACTACATATTCTATTAGTTTATATAAATATCTCTTCATTCTATGGTACGTATGGTGAACGTTCATTTCATACCAATATAAATTTAAGTCCTCGAAAGCGTAGCTAAACTCGTACATTCCCATTGCATTAATAATCGTTTGCTCATTGCCCCCATGATAAAAGGTGAGAAGTGATAGATGTATTTTATGGAGTATAATATTTGTATTTGTATAAATTTTATTTGGTAAAGAAAAGTGAATGAATAAAAATAATAGTCTATTTTATTTTTTAAATTAATCATAGCATAACACATCAATAGGAAGTAGAAAATGGAGTAAAAAGTATGAGTAAATATATTATTACTCTAAAAAGTCTTGTGTTAGGCCTTCAAAATTAAATTTTAAAAAAAATTGTCATCATAATTAATAAGTGAATATGGAGTTAAAATGAAACTGCTATTTTCATCATAATATAACTTATAATCTTTGGATATTCATGAATTAAATGATTCCACCATTAGTTGAAAAAGAAAATTAATTGTTGTTCATACGGGTTTAACTCAATGGTTCAGTAGGGATATGAGAGCAATGTTTGAACCTTAATGGTGCTAGTGTGGAGATTATGTCCAAAGTGGACAGATCCCCTTGTGTGCACCGACATTTAACCTTGCCCGCTGAATCATTGAGTCACCCGTCCCGGGGTGTGAGCTAGGATTCAACCTTTCGGGAGAAGAAGAAAATTAATTGTCCAATTAAAAAAATGTCAGGTAAAAAAGAAAATTTTGGAAGAGTGAGTAAAACTCCACTCTTAATAAAATTAAGGTGCAAAGAGTGAGTGTATATATTTACTTGAACAGAAAGCACACCCGCTTTCCCGGTAGTAGTGTTATCCGGGACCAACTTTCCATGGACAGAAACATCTGGGCGAAACAGATCCAAATTCTTCATTTCAACATCTGCGTAAGCGTGGTTGAAGTTGACCCCATGGTTGTTGCAGTGAAGCTCCGGCTCGCCATGGCCGTTATGGACCACCTCTCCACAAAATGGGTAGAAGGACACCAGTGTCTCAGCCAGGGCTTTCTTAATAACTCCCACCATTTTCTCCGGCGACCTAAGACTAATGCAGCAGCTATCATTCATGGCGGCCATGGCATTATTGTTGTAGTAGCAGAAGAAAACTCCGAAATCTAATGGCGGGATTAGCAGGTCTAAGTTGGACATGGGCAACCAGTGCTCGTACGCGCCCAGCCTAGCCTTCACCACTTCCTCGCTCTTCATCGTCACCACAAAATCGCAGTTATTGTCTGCACAATCCTGCATAATGTTTATGTCTTTTGTTGAATTCATCGAATTCTTGAATGCCCTGATGATTCTTGATATATGTTGGTATATATATATGGAGAAGGTTAGTATATATATATATATATATATATATACTTGCCACCTTGGGTTGGGTTCTCATCAGCGGTTGCAGAACAAGCTAAAGTGAACAAGAAAGAGAGATCAGACATCAGATTAGATATGATGATATGATATCCAACCCGAGTGCCGGATTTTAAGTTTTTGTGGCCATACAATAAATACACATTTCTACCATCTCTTCATAGAACCTTTTAAATTTAATTGAAAACTTTTAATTTTTATTTCTAAACTAGCTAGGTAAATATTAAATATTGGGCCTCTAAAATTTGGGGCCCCTCTAAAATTGGGGGCCCTGTGCAGTAGCCCAGCTTGCACAGCCTAAAATCCGGCCCTGGCGCAATCCTTTGGTCCGATCCTATTATTTTAGAGGCTCAAACCAAAATATTATATGAGTTAATTGAAATTAATTAAATTGATAATTTTAAATTTTTGTAAATATATAATTTTTTATTAAAAAAAAAACGTTTTAGAATAGATGTGGAGTAGTGTATATTCAGACCTAACTTTGAAGTCATAGATTTAAATCTTTGCAAATATGAAAGCATTTTTTTTTTAACTTCATAAAAAAAAAATAAATAAATAAATAAATAAGAAGCTAGGGGGACCATCTCAATGTTGGGCCAAGAGCGGGTGCCCATTTCGCCCGCCCTCAGGACCGGGACTGCCTTTGGTTTTGATTTCACTCTAAGTGAAGCTGGTGCATGCTGCGACCATAATTGGCAAAAAGACCACATGCTTAAATGGAAAAAGCTAATAACAACTATTGACGGAGGCTACTAAGGGTTAAGTCCATCACCATGTAGCTAGTGGGATCGTTGGGCGAAGGCCAATAAAGAACCAAGTCCAGCATTATATGTGAAGGTATAAGGAAATAAAGTTGCACATTCACTACTAGCTATATAACTTTTGACTTAGCTGTAAGCGTTTGATCCTAACACTTGATATCAATGCCAATAGGGGTGTGTGTTTCAGGATTCAATTGGTTTGGTTTTTTCGATTTCGGTTTCGGTATTAAAAAAAAATGATACCATTCGGTTTAACATTAGAGTTTGGTTCAGTTTGAAAAAGTTCGGTATTCAGTTCGGTTTAAGAACCCCAATTTTTAAGAGTTCCTAATTTTCCAAACACACTACCAAACAATACATATTCACATAGTCCAAATCCAAAGTCTAAACATTATATAACAAAATAGCAATCTAAAGTTCACAAGTATTAATTACCAAACATCAGTTGGATTTTTTCTCACCCGATTCTTCAGTTGGTTCACTTGGAATGTTTTGCTGACAAGATGAAGAATCATCTATTTGTATATTTAATATTTGGATAACAAGTGTCAAATACTGTATAGTTAATTTTTTGACACATGCTATATATGTTTGGCAAACCTAGCTGAAAGCTGAAAAGTAGCTAAAAACTGAAAAGCTATAAGCTAGAAGCTAAAAACTGAAGAGATGTTAAGCTAGCTGATTATGCTTAAAAGTGTTTGGTAAAATCATCTTTTTGATAAGCTGATAAATTTAAAAAGACTAAAAATGACATCTTCATAAAAATTAAATAGTTTTAAATTTAAATACGTTTGTTTATATATTAAAATTTAACATTTTGAAATGAAATTATTAGCATAATCATGACCTAGCATCCCATAATGAAGTGGCAATATTGTTGCGAATCTCCTTCATCTCAATAGAGGTTTCACTTAAATTTCCATTGATTGGACGATTGGAGTTGGAACTTTAAGGAGTTGCTAGGCGATGAAGAGTTGCGGAAGATGATGAATAAAAATATAGGATAAGAGGAAAGGTCAAAAGAATTTTAGTTGAGAGAGTAAAGGATACCATTTATTTAAAATAATAATAATAATAATAATAATAATAATAATAATAATAATAATAATAATAATAATAATAATAATAATAATAATAATAATAATAATAATCATAATAATAATAATCATAATAATAATAATAATAATAATAATAATAATAATAATAATAATAATAATAATAATAATAATAATAATAATAATAAAAGATGGAAAAAAAAAAAAGTTAGAAGCTCCTAGCTTATTGAAACGCTACTTAAGGTAGAGTTTCAAAATAAGCTCTTATTTTAAGCTACTAACCCGTAACATTACCAAACAAAGCTTATAGCTTATTAGTAGCTTAAAATAACCTATAAGCTCTGCCAAACAGAGCCACAATCCGTCATTGCTTGGCAAAATATATATCTAGTGCACTGAAATATTATTTTCCAGTACACTGAAAATATATTTCAGTACTGGAAAATAATTTCAGTGCACTCGAAATCAAAATTAGAATGATGTTGAAACACATTAATTTCATAGAAAACATGAAACTAAGAAAAAAGCTTTTGCTTACATTGAGGACAAAAATCAAGCAGAGAATTGGGTCATGGAATAAGAAGCTCCTAACTCAGGCTGAGAAAGAAATATTATTGAAAAGTGTAGCTCAAGCTATGCCTACCTTTTCAATGAGTGTATTTTTGTTGCCTATATCTGTCTGCTCTGCTATTGAACGCACAATGAACCGATACTGGTGGGGATCTGGGACGGACCGTGGTATTCACTGGAAATCTTGGGATAAGTTATGTATCCCTGGTTGGAAATGGTAACTCAACTCTAATATGGAAGGATCCCTGGTTGCAGGATGAAATGGACCCTATGATCCAAACGAGGATGCCGCCACAATTGTTGGATGCAAAGGTATCTGGATTAATAGATCAGACGACTGGTACATGGGACCTATATATTTTATCAGATATTTTTGACCAAGTGATGTGCCAAGAATATTAAAAATACCTATCTCCCCGGAATATGAGGATACATGGTATTGGTATGATGACACCAACGGATGCTACTCGGTCAAGAATGGGTACAAGCACGTAGTGGGTATTTATGAGAGTAGCTCGGGATTTGATAAATGGGACACTCTATGGAAGCTACGAATTCCACCTAAATGGAGAATGTTTCTATGGAGAGCTATAAGTAATATCCTTCCTACAACCAACAACTTACTTATAAAGAGAGTGGATATTGATCCGATATGTGCCATGTGTGGATTAATCAATGAAGATGTTATGCACTCATTAGTCTTGTGTGATTATGCAAAGTCCATTTGGACCCAATCTGGCCTTCCATTGCCCCATGTTATCACAAATATTGTTCATGAATGGTTTAGGGCAATCTTGAATGTTCTAGACTCTAATGAAATGTTATTTGCAGCTGGAATTCTATACAACATTTGGAGAGCTCGAAACGGAGCAGTATGGGATGCATGTCTACAGTTGCCGAAAAGAGTTTTGTTATCAGCTATAACCATGAAGAATGCGTGGCAAGCGCTGCATGGTGTTACCGCCCAACAGCCGAACCAAGCAGCCGCTGGACTGCTTCCCGAAACCATCACCGCCCCAATGCCGACTTCGGCTGTCTCGGCTTTGCCGTTGCCGCTTTCACCCACTGCCGTGGGGCAGCCAACATATCCGAAGCAATGTTATATAGACGCAGGTTACAATGCCACCTTGATGACAGCCACGACCGGTGTACTCTTGTTAGACCATATTGGAGTTTATGTATCGGCTTACTGTGTGCCACCACAAGCTTGCTTCTCACCCCTTATGGTCGAGGCCCTAGCATGTAAGGAGGCTTTATCATGTCTCAGACATCGTGATGAACGGTCGGTTCAAATTTACACGGATTGCCAAACTTTGCGAACCTATCTCGATTCAACTATCCGACCTCGATCATATCTTGGCTATGTCCTTGATGAGTGCAGACGATTTATAGCTACATTTAATTTCTTTTCAGTTAATTTTATTCCTAGATCACAGAATGTTATGGCACATGATTTAGCGTCAGATGCCTTTACTTATTCTATACCTATGTACTGGGACGAGATCCCGCCTGACTCTATTTCGATTCATATATAAATCCAACCACGTTGGTTTTTCAAAAAAGAAAAATACTGAATATTGTGAGAGTGATTCAAGTTAGCGATAATTGTGAGGCAAAGAACAATTGCAGCCCGCAAACAGCAAAGTGCAAAGTAGAGAACAATCCATAAAGAAATCAAATAAAAAATTTAAGAGAGATACTGGTGAGAATAGAAGCTGAGTGAGTGAACGGTGGAGCAGGCAACAAGGGACATATTGGATTTACTTTTTTTATTATTATTATTGTTATTATTTTATTATATTTAAAAAGAAAAAAAATAAAATGATATTCAATTCGGTTCGATTTTTCACCGAATTGTTCAGTATACAAGAATCTATTACTGTTCGGTTGTTCGGTATATTACCGAACCAAACTAGCCCGTTGCGACTCGGTGCGACTTGAAAAAAAACCAAACCGAATTATCCACCGCTAAATGCCATGTTCTCGTAGGAAGGAATTGTTGAGTGGAGGCTTGTAAAAGACACCCAAACCAACAACCAATTCGGTTATGATTGGCCTCATGTAACCCATTTATAAATTATAATGTATTCTCGATCTTATGCTATTTGCAATTAGAGAGAGATCTATGTAGATCGATGTGCATTTGCTAACTATTGGCATTATTTTTTATTCTATTTTTGTGTAATTATCTACGGGTCTTCATGACCTTCAAAAAAAATCTAACGGTCTTCATGGCTAGCCAACAGTGGGTTTCGCGTTTCTTATTTGCATCACGATTCTGTCTCTGTCACTAGTGGTTGGTAAGACAAATCCATTTTGAGCAAGACATTACTTGCTGCCTAACTTTATCCAACACTTGGAATTACAAAGATCATATTCATACGGTACCATATTTACATATATTTTGTTTGGTTCACAAATTATATTTTAGAGGAATAAGCCGGAATTATTGTATTCCTAGTTTGGTTGGTTTAAATAATAGAATTATAATGAATTTTCAAAAGACAAAAATAATTTGTTGGAGGATAAAATAGCATAGAGCTATTTTTGTCTTAATCCTCCTA